CTTTCGGACCCGAGTTGAGGTTTCGCATAGCTTTTCATCCCCAGACTGATGGGCAAACAGAGCGGACGATTCAGACACTTGAAGATATGCTTAGACTATGTGTGTTGGACCTCCAAGGAAGTTGGGGAGTACATTTACCTTTGGTGGAATTTACTTACAACAACAGCTATCAAGCTAGCATTGGCATGGCGCCGTATAAAGCACTGTATGGAAGAAAGTGCAGGTCGCCGATATGTTAGACCGAGGTAGGAGACAGAGCTCTGCTTGGTCCCGAGTTAATTCAAGTAACAACCGAGAAGATTAAGCTCGTTCAACAAAGGATCAAAACCGCTTAGAGTCGACAGAAGAGTTATGCCGACCAAAGAAGAAGGGAATTAGAATTTGAAGTCGGGGACCACGTGTTTCTCAAGATTTCGCCGATGAAAGGAGTTACAAGATTTGGGAAGAAGGGTAAGTTAGCACCCTGTTACATCGGGCCTTTTGAAATTCTTAAGAAGATTAATCTCGCTGCTTACAAACTTGCCTTGCCGCCTGGATTGAGCCAAGTCCATAATGTATTTCATGTTTCGATGCTGAGGAAGTATATTCAAGATCCGCTACATGTGATCGACTATTTCAGAGTTGTAATTAATGAAGATTTAGGCTACGAAGAGAAGCCGATACGAATTATCGATAGGCAAGTGAGGTTGTTGAGAAGCAAGTCGATACCAATGGTGAAAGTTGAATGGAAGGAACATTATGGAGAGGATGCTACGTGGGAAATGGAAGAGGAAATGAAAGTTCGACATCCAGAATTGTTTTTGGAACAAGGTAACTCAAGTTTGGGGACCAAACTTCTTTAAGGGGGGTAAGATGTAACAACCCTCATTTTGACTTAGTCATACTTGCATACATTTATGGATGATCTTGTTTAAATATGTGCAATTGCAATCTTGTCTTGTTTTGCTTGAATGATTGCTTACATGTTTTGTTCTCATCTGGTGCATTGTCGAGGTCACCTCAAGCCTAGACACCTTCGAGACCTTGGTCACATAGAACTATCTTGGAACCCTATTGCTTGACCTCCATCTTCGCCTTGGCATATTGGCCGAGATGTTACCATCTAGGCCGAGGTGCGCGTTGCCTAGGCCGAGATGTGCATCATCTGGGCCGAGATGTTAATATCTAGGCGTTCTAGATCCTTGATCCTTGCATGAGTGATTTTGTTCCTGGGATGGTATGACCTAGACCGAGGTGTGGCACACCTAGGCCAGGGTGTGGCACAGTTTAGTCAAGTGCTGTCCTTCCAAGCCGATGTCCTTGCCCCTTGATTGCCGGAGTCTTGTTGTTAACCGATGTCGTTACTTGCCGGTGTGTTCGTGCCGCCTAGCTTGCTGAGTACACTTTGTCTTGGTCTTGTCTTGTCAAGTCAGTCACCTTTTTGAGTTGAGTGAATCAGCCGGTGCCACGTGTCCCGACTGAGGGATTAAGTCAGTGTTTGTCATGTGAGGCATTTCATTTGGTATCAATCTTGCCTTTTAGAGAGAGAAGCTCTAGTTAGAAGGAGGAGAAGTTTGAGCTAGAGAAGGTGACTTCCAAGTTTGATCGTTAGAGCTTGAGCCGTTAGATTCGAGTTTTGAGGTTAGAATCCTAACCTATTCTTGTTGTTCTTCTTAATCATCTAGCTACATTGCACGATCAAACCTGTTTTGCACACCATTCATCGATTTAAAGTTGGTTTTAGAAAGAGAAAACGATTTTCATGTGTTTTTGAAGAAAAGCCTCGTTTGATCCGAAAGTTTGCGTCGAAGCTCATGCATTTGTGTTTGTTTTGATAAGATCATTGAGTGTGGGTACCCAGGTCCACATTTTTGTAGTTATGGCATGAAATCTCAGCTTTCGTATAGCAAGTTTTGATCTTTGGATTCATCTTCCTCATGTTCATGTTCTTCAAGTTCTTCATGCTCATGTTCTTCATGTTTATCAAGAGGGAAACCCAGATTTTTCCCGACTTCACGCCGTCGAGGCCACACCTCGGCAAGGAGGTGTGGGACCTCGGCCTAGACCTGGTAGTTGCCTAGCATGTCTTCCAGAAATAAGAAACGGTGTTTTGATTTGATTTGACTTAGTTTTTGAAGAATGCCAAGGTCATTTGCATGCATACTAGATTTGTTTTGAGTAGTGCATTCAATAGACTTTGCCGTGTGTTTGTCAGGACTTGGACTTGCCCTGACCCCGACGTTTGAAGAACAAGGTGAGTGGCATTGTTGATAAAGCTATGTTATATGTTTTGATAAAGACTTTGCTTTGCTTTATTTTGAAAGTGTTTGTTAAGCATGAATAATTGTCCCTGTTTTGTATACCAAGTGTGGTCTTGCCTTGATGATCTTCTCGGAAAGTCCCTCGTGCTGGAGGACTCTAAACTTTCGCAGCACATCTTGTCTTGAAAGTCCCTCGTGCTGGAGGATTCTAAACTTTCGCAGCACATCTTGTTTTGAAAGTCCCTTGTGCTGGAGGACTCTAAACTTTCACAGCATCCTTGATTTGTACTCTAGTGTTAAAGGGCTACGGGCCTTTGTAACATAGGTCCCTCGTGTTGGAGGACTGTAAACTTTCGCAGCACATCTTGTCTTGAAAGTCCCTTATGCTAGAGGACTCTAAACTTTCGTAGCACCCTTGTTGGAGATGCCTATCTTGCTTTGTCCTGTTTTGCCACGGACGGTTACTGCGTAGATATGTTTGCTAAAATGTTATTATTTGTAATATGTGATACTAGTAAGTATCCCTTGAAACTTTGAAGATCTGTTAAATGGACGAGGTCCATTCCTTGTTTTATATATGAAGTTTTGTCTTGTAATGTTTTGAAAGGACTTCGGCTATTATTCATGCAACCCCTTTATTATTTATACCATTCACTGAGTATCCAAGCTCACCCTCTCTATATATATGTAGGTGATGAACAAGAAGGCAGTGACGCCTAGGTGTGATTTCTGGAGCTTGTTTTGGGTTTTGATTATGTCGGCTTACCCTGCATATTATGTTGGCAGTCTCGAAAATCATGCTTCTCAACTTATAATATTTGTACTTCGAACACGTCGGCTGAGAAGCCTTTTGATCAAGATATATGTTTTTGTATGATTGTTATGTCGGTAAGGAAGATGTCGGCAACCTGGCAGACTGTATTCTTATACCTGTAATTCGTACAATTTGTTTATGTCGGCTTGAGGAGCCCTTTGCTAATACGAAACATGTAACTTGCATTCTGCTTTGTTTGTAATTAAGTTATAACCCATATGTAAATAGTTGCTATCTCATTTGACTTAAGCACAGCTCTTATGGACCATATGATTATAGTTAAAGAATAAATCTTAAAATTAAGCTTATATGTCATTTTCTTAAAATAATTGTCCACTAACTTTTGTTACCGTAAACTCCTCTCTTTAAGTTTTCTCCATGAAAAATTATTAATTAATCATGGAGGGTTTCTTATCAATCACAAATTACAATACTCTCTAATATATTTTAATAATCTAATATAAATTATGACCCCAACAACCAATATCTTCTCTTTTTTCACATGATGGACCACCCAACACATATACCCTGTCAATTCGATGAAACTTATGTAGTCGGGGATACCAATACTGGGATTGGATCTTAATTATCGGCAATGACAAAGATGCCCTTCAACTTGAAAGTATTATATACGTATATACATATATTTTAAAAATATATAAATTTTATTAATTTATATCACATTTGTTCTTTTTCTTTTCCATGGCCCACTTGAAGTGACAGAAAATTAAAAAGGGGAACTTACTGATAAGTCCCATGTACTAAGTTCAAAACCCAGCTAATCCCAAAACAAAATACTTGCACCAATTAGTCCAATACATTTTTAATTGTTACCAAAAAATCCTTTTTTTTTTTTTTTAATTTACGGACACTGTTCACATTTTACTACCGTCAGACTTTCGTCAAACGGTTGCCGGAGACTCGTCGGAATGTTCAACATCGCCGGAGACTCGTCGGAATGTTTAAAACATGTTATGAAACTGTAAAATTTTACAGTTCTAAAAAATGTTATAAAACTGCAAAATTTTACAGTTTTAAACCATGATTCATTCCAGCACCAAAAAAAATTTTGAAACTGCAAAATTTTACAATTTTCACCGCCTGTAACTAAAACTCGAAAATTATTTGTTCAGAATTCGAAAATTTTCTCATTACAAATCTGTGTGATATCTGTACAAATATGAGTCATTACAGATCTGTTTCAATGATATTATAGATCTATTTCATCATCAACAACAACAACCATAGATCAACAACTATCCCAAAAAAAATCTGTAAATAGAGAGAGAAAGAGAGAGAAATTCACAAAGATATATACACAAATCTGTTCAATCTAAGCACAGATTTGAGGATGAGCGTCTTCTTGTTCTTGTTCTTCATCGTCTTCTTGTTCTTCATCGCCTTCTTGTTTGACTTTAGGACTGAGATTAGGGTTAGAGGAGGAGGCGTAAAGAGGGAAGCAAAAAGCAGAGAGAGAGGAGAAAGGACTTTTGGGTGTACTTAAAAAGTTATGGGATTAAATGGTATCTACATGTTCCACATGAGACCTATGGGTAATTTCCCCAATTAAAAACCTTATCATCAAAGTGAGCCATTTTTCTTTTCTTGGTTTCATACGCGCATGCGTCCCTTGCATATTATTTTTCTTTTCTTGGTTTCATATGCGCATGGGTCCATTGCGTATAATAAAAGAACAGTAGTATTATTTGAATTCAAAAATTAAATTTATTTTTTAAATTTAATGATTAATCAATTAATTGTTTTTATGTTTTACTTGTCTCACATTTATATCTTTTTTAATTATCAATCAATTATCTTATTTATACATTATTAAATTTAAAAAATAAATCTAAATATTAGATTTATATTTCATTTTCTTAAAATAATTATTCCATTAACTTTTGCCACCCAAACTTCTCTCTTTCAAGAGTTTCATGTAACAGTACTTTTCACAAATCACAAATCACCATCACTCCATATTTCCTAATCACCAATCACAATGACCAATAACTTCTCTTTCTTGACATGGGTGGACCACTCAACACATCCGGTCATTCGAGGAGACTTTGTGCGGTCAAGGATACGGACGTTGGGATTGGATCTCATCGGCAATGGCAAAGATGCCCTTCAACAAGCCCTTGAAAGTCCCTTGCCATTGTTTCCAAGAAACCATCCATAAGGTATCAGCAATGCTAGGTATCATGAAAAACCTTTCATGAAAATAATCATGAAAGTTTTGTGACCATTGGATTACACTTAGAATAAAGCACCACACACTAATCAAGGTAATCTAAGGATCATAAATTTTTCATGATCATTTTCATGAAAAAATTTTCATGATTCCTAACTTTTCCCGTAAGGTATTGGCTTAAAACTTAAATTAAATCCCTCTTCTTTTTCAGATGCAACAAGTCATATTCAATCAAAGTTCTTTGTTGTTTGAAGTGATTAAGCCCATACATTTTCCACCTTCTTGAGATCAAACCACCCAAATTCAATACGTATACAGAGTGTACAAAAGAACATAACTGCCAAGGATGGTTGATGCTGTTGTCTCTTCCGTAGTGCGGAGACTTGGTGGTCTTCTCATTGATCAAGTAATTTTTTTGCAAGGAGTGAGAGATGAAGTCAACTATCTGAGAACCAAATTGGAATACATGTTGTGTTTCTTGAAAGATGCAGAAGAAAAACAAGATCAAGACAGTAGGATACGCAAATGGGTATCCGATATTAGAGATGCTGCTTACGAAGCCGAGGATATTATTGACAAGTTTATTCTCAAAGTTGAAGAAGGAGGGATTCCCGAAAGGACAGGGTTCAAAGCTTGCCTCAGAAAGTACTTTTGCATCAACAAACAAGGAAACAAGTATGGGATAGGTAAGGAGATTCAAGAATGGAAGAATAGACTCGATGAAATCGATCGAAATCATGAAATTTTCAAGATTAGAAATATCGAAGCTGCTGGGGAGGGATCAAGTGGCTGGGGAGGGATCAAGTGGCATGAATGAGAGATTCAAGCAACTACGAAGGACAACACCTTATGAAGACGACCAACATGTTGTGGGCTTCACCGAGGATGTTGAGTTACTGACATCTGAACTTCTCCGAGAAACGCCCCATCAACGTGTGATTTCGATTGTGGGCATGGGCGGTTTGGGTAAGACGACCTTAGCTCGAAAACTTTACAACTCTAGCAGTGTTGGAGATCAATTTGAATGTAAAGGTTGGGTTTCTGTATCCAAGGATTACAACATCCAGGATCTTCTTCGAAGAACAATAAAATCCTTCACGACGCCCACCACCAAAGACGAATTGGAGATGTTGGAGAAGATGGGAAAAGAAGATTTGGAAGGCCGTTTGCATGAGTTGTTGAAAGAAAGTCGATACCTGGTGGTGATTGACGATGTATGGGATACAGATGCTTGGGCAAGCTTGAGGAGATCCCTGCTAGACAACAAGAAAGGAAGTAGAGTAATTATCACCACTCGTAAGAAAGTTGTTGCCGAGAGTTCTGGTGAGAGAAAATTTGTCCATGAGCTTTCATTTCTACAAGAAGAAGAAAGTTGGGAATTGTTTTGTAAAAAAGTGTTTCCGGACTATGATGGGGTCGATGATAAAATAAATCGTTGCCCTCCAAGCTTGGAGGAATCGGCAAGAGATATGGTCAGAAAATGCCATGGCTTACCCCTGGCCATAGTTGTCTTGGGTGGGCTATTGTCAAGAAAACATCCTGATGAGTGGCCCAAGTTGCAGGGCCGCTTCTGGCGGCATGTAAGAGGTGACGACTTTGAAAGCCATGACTCGACTCATGTTACACAAATATTGGCTTTAAGTTTCACCGATTTGCCTCATCACTTGAAGTCGTGCTTTCTTTACTTGGGGTTGTTCCCTGAGGATTTTGAAATTGATGCAGACAGACTTATACGGTTATGGGTGGCAGAAGGTTTCATACAACAAGCAGAAGGAGAAACCTTAGAGGAGACAGCTGCAGAACATCTAAATGAGCTGATTGACAGAAACTTGATTCAAGTAGCTCAAAGAAACTGGATGAGAATTAGAAGATGCCGAGTTCATGATCTTCTTCGGGATTTTGCAATTGAAGAGTCGAAGGAGTTAAATTTCCTTCATATCTATGATGGAAATGTTTATTCTGCACCCTCTCCCTGCAAACATCGAAGACTAGCTTCTCATAACTGTGGATTAAAAAGAATTGCTTCCTTTGATCAGTCATCAAATTTGCATTTACGAACCCTTTTGTTCTTCGACTCGGAAAATGAATCCGCCGAAATAGGGGAGTTACAATTTTTGTACAAAAAATTGAGATTGTTGAGAGTGTTAGATCTTGAGGAGATCATATTCAAACATTCCCAAGAAGAAACAAAGCATGTAAGCTTAGTTGATGCAATAGAGAAGTTGATTCACTTGAGGTACTTTAGGATAAGTGGCTCCAAAATAAACAAGATTCCACCATCCATAGGTAACTTGCAAACCCTACAAACCCTGGAATTTTCCCAATGGTATGGCCCAATTATGTTACCAGATGAGATATGCAATGCAAAGCAGTTGAGACATTTAATTGGATGGTTCAAGTATCCTTTCCAAGTGAAAAACCTAACAAACCTTCAAACTCTAAAGTACATTGCGGTTGATGATCAGATGGAATTTAATCCATCATGGGATTTAATCAATCTTCACGAGCTTTGCGTAGCATTTGATGGAGAAAGCAAGGGGTTCACTCTAGACTCTATTGGTAGATTAAGAAACCTCCGAACATTATTTCTAGAGATTGCGGACACTGTTTGGAATCCTACACTGCAACCACTTTCTCACTGCCAGCACCTCATTCAATTGAAGTTACATGGAGAAATAGGAAAGCTACCGACAGAGATGCACGAATTCTTACCGAATCTCAAATACCTCTCCCTGTCTGGAGAGAAAATGGAGGAAGATCCTATGCCGTCATTAGAGAAACTTCCAAAGCTGACAATTCTTGACTTGTTGAATTACACCGTATATAAATTTGCTTGCACTGCAGGAGGGTTCCCTCAACTCGAAATCCTATTTCTTGTCCAGTGTCACGTGAAGGAGTTACAAGTGGATGAAGGGGGAATGCCTCTGCTTCGGGGTTTGGGTTTGTACAGTGACAAGGTTAGCATCCCAGAGAGATTAAGGTCCATCCCTGTCCCCAAAAATTGGGATGTCGCATCGGTTGATGAGTGGCCCTACTAACAAAGAAAACAAGTTACAGGTGAGTAATAGTTGTTGCCAGAAAATATATTGTAAATAAAAGGTTTCCTTTCTTATAGATCACTTTTCTATACGTTCTGGTTTAACTTAATTAATAAGGCTTTTTAACTGGATAGGTTATAGTAAAATTTATTCGTATCATGTATAATTAAATATATAGTATGTATATGTGTGTGTTTTCTTAACAATGCATGTTTGGTAAATTAGTTAGGTGAGTAGAGAAATAATAAAATTCACCTTGTTTGCTTTTAATTTTTTGAATTTAATTTTTTTAAAGTTGAATTTTTTTTAAGGGAATTTTTTTAATACTATAAGCATTTTTTTTTTTTAACTTTTTAACTTTTTTTGTATTCTTATTATTTTTTCAATAGTTTTTTTTGCAAATATTTACTTTTTAGGTACATCTAAAAGGTTTTTTTTTTTTTAAAAAAATTTGCTTAAAATATTAAAAACATGTATTGAATTTTCTTTTTCTTTTTTTTTCTTTTTTTGAATTTTTGGTATTTAGTGAATTTTTTAAAAAAAATTTCACAAATATTATACTTTTTATTTGTATTTATATTAAGTATATGTAAAAAGTAAAAAAAAAAATTGCTTAAAATATTTAAAAAATTCATTAAAAATAAAAAAATACGAAAAATAAAAAATTCAAAAAATTGGAACCAAACAAGGTGATTATGATTTCTCTTCTAGTACTTAGGTGAGAAATGAAAAAAAAAAATTTAAATAATTATGATTTCTCATCATTGTGTTTGGATAAACCAAAATAAAAGAGAATACATGTGTTTTTTATTTAAATATTACTATTAAACCAAATCAAACTAAACCAAGCTTTAAGTCCCGTCAAATGGTATTTAAATATTACTATTGAAGGCCAAAAATTAGATTCACTTTCTAACTCTCTCATTTATTCTTTAATTATCAACCAATTATCTTGTTAACACATTATTGGTATAGAAAGTGGGTTTAGAAAGAGAAAACACATGACTTTTTATTATCAATGTTTTGTATCTAGATAGACAGTTTAAGTTTTTTGATTTTTTTTTTTATACAACTATTTCTTTTCACCAAAATTGGTGAGAAACAAAACATGAGTTTTAGGAGTTTTTTATTTTTTTATTTTTATTAAACTAATTCATATATAGACTAGTTTTCATAGAGCTTGCTTTCTTATCTGCCAAATGATGAATCCAAGCATTTAGTTCCTTGCTAGTTTAGTGAGTTAGACAAATGAAAAGATTTCCGAAGAGATATTATTCAGTTATCTCAAAAATTGTGCTTAGAAAATGAGATAATCCTGTTATAATATGCATTAGTTACAATTCAAAACAATATTGACGATGTGTAAAATTTAAAGCGGTAGTGCTATATTTTAGATAGCATCTCCACCTCATAGTTTCACGCCAACACATGTCCTATTTCAAGTGAGATAATCGGTATATAGTAATTGACTCACTCATATGATAATTGATATAATTTTTTACATACATCTTTAAGAAATTTGTTTTTCATTTTTTATTTTTTTACACATTTCTTACAACTTAGATGTATTTTTTTTTTTTCATTTTATTTATTTAACAGGAATGAAAGTTGGAGGAAACAAAGGAAGTGGTTAGTGATGCTTGTGTGCCTGTGTGCTATTGGAGACTTGGAGTTTTTTTTATTTATTTAATTTTTTTTCCTTCTATTTGTTGTCATGTTGGCGTGCTTGTCATGTTTGTTGTATTTGGATTTCCGATGGCTTCTCTTTTTATTATTTATGTATAAAAGACTGATGTGTGGTTATGTTACTGCTACTATTGGCTATTACTTTTTTAATTGTGATGATATATATTGTTATGAACATCTATTCTATTGTCAAAATATATATTTGCTATTTTAATTGACTTTTTAATTATTTGGTTATTTTAATCTAATTAAAAAAGTTACATTTAAAATGATAGTTGGCTTTTTTAAAAAAAATTATTTGATGATTGTAAAAAAAAAATTAAATAATTATAATTTAGATGTGACATTTTATTGTATTAACTATTTTATCTTTATTAACTACTTTAACCAAAAAAATTCTCCCAACCCAACTCCCAAACACCCCTTATAGCGTGGTTAATAAGAAAGGCTATAAGGAGAGTCACTTGATGGTTGAGTTAAGCTCCTCCACGAGGTCAAGGAGCACAAAGCCAAACAGAGCGTGTTGCAGAGAGTTGGGTGATTAATAAGAAATGCTACAAGGAGAGTCACTAGTTGAACGGTTAAAACTTGACATTTTTGTAGACTAAGAAAATATTGGCCCAAAATCCAGCACCACCACTACCAATAACATCGCCACGGTCATCACCACTGACACAAACGAAAGCCCTCTCTTCCACTACCGCCAAAGTTTTGATGAAATTGAACTATAACTGATGATCAGAGTACTTAATTGCCAGTGAAGTGAGATCTACAATTCAAGTCAATACAATGGCGTAAAACCTACTATAGTAATCTAACTATATTAACCTATTAGTATCATATCATGCGACAAAAAAGATTTAAAAGAGTTTTCCCTATTTTTCTTAATTATGGGGCTACATTTTGGGCATTAAACTTGGTATTCATATCTCATTCAGCTTATACTATGAAAATGCTTAGCCAAACGATACACTAACATCACAATCTTAAGCCAAACCAACTTTCATAATAGACATAACCAAATATTACTTGTTAACTGCCATGAAGGACAGTTTTAGCAAAAACATGAGCCTGCTAGACTACCTGCCGACTTACCTTACATATATTTACATAATCAAAACCATTAAGTAAAGATCAAATCTCCAAAATTAGCGGTTGTGAGGCCCAATCGCATGATGATGTACCACGAAGCAATTCGACCAACCATAGGTAATCTGTGAAAGAACTCGAATATCCCAAACTTGACACCATCGGAACACATCCAAACACGCACGGGTTTCAGCTGCAGTGGCCACAATGTTGTTAAGACAACACGCCAAAGCCACAACAAGCTATAAGAGGAAATACAAAATTGACAAAAACACTATTAACATTAATTCCATCACAAAAAAAATATAAAGCCACTCACTTGGAATTCTTTGGCAGTGGTGTGTCCGCAAAAATATACGAGACACATGTAAAACTTTTATATATGCTAGGCCCCGCAATCTCGAGGATGGGCACTGCATCAAATATCTCTTAAAGCATCTTCTGTGAGCTCTCAAGGCACCAATATTCTCATCAAGGTTTTTAATCTTAGTTGTTCCTGCAAATGTACAATGCGAGGTTAAATACAATTTGACCATTCGAAATACAACATTAAGGAGCACATTTGGAAGTTTTGGTTTGTTTTCAAAACTTGTTTTTTAAAAAATACTGAACACTAGTTTGGTGAAAATAAAAACCAAAAATCAACAAGGATCTCTCTCTTAAATTGATTAACGGCTGATTTGATTGCATAAACATCCACTTGAAACAATAACAAAATATTATTAAAGCATTCAGTAAACATCCAAATATGATTAAAAAACTAAAGAATTTTCAGAAAAGCTAATAAAAACTAATCATTCAATAGAAGTTACATTTAATTTAATTCAAAAGCCAAAAAATATACTTCGGCAAGGGGTTTGGGTTGGATTGTAAGAAAGACCACAACCTCCTACTTATCGAACTAGTTACCAGGAAATTAAAAGTTTTCGAGGTTTGTTCAAGGATTCATTTCACCTTCCGGCACTTTTTCCATAACTTTTCACGTATTATTCACTACCAAGAAAACAAAATTTTGATTAGTTACTCACTGGGAATAGGCACCCTATCATCCCCTTGATGAAAAACCCATGCAAGTGTGAGTTGAACAGGGGTGCAGCTATGCTTCTTAGACAACTCTTCTATTCAAAGATAAAAGATCTTGTTGTGATCTAAATTCTACCCTGTAAACCTAGGAAGTGCTAGCTGATAGAAAGAAAAAGTCATTCATCCATTCATCTAGTTGTCTGACTAACCAAAAGAGGAAATGTCTGAATGAATTAACACTCTGTTTCAGCAAAGATTATTTTCCTATGGATAACATTTTCCAATAATTTTTTTTGTAGAAGATGTTTTCCTATCTTTGTTTGAGACCTTGAAACTAATGTACTAGTTGTTTATTGTATTAGTGATGGTGTTGGTGGTTGTGGTAGGGTGTTGGTGGCTGTGGTAGGGTGTTGGTGATGCTAGTGTGGCAGCGTTGGTAAGACCTTATTTTGGAAAACGTTTTCCACCTTTCAAAAGTGGAAAACATTTTCCGCCTAAGTAAACTTGTTCTCTATTGGCCACATAAAATGTTTTCAGTTGCCTTTGATTTTCCATTGTACCAAACGCCAGATAATGTGGAAAACATTTTCTAAAATAAATTTTCGACCAAAACATGAGCATTAGTTCACAGAGATGATTTTTATCTAACATTAATTAAATTGAAGTAAAAAAGAAGACATAGATCCAGTTCATCACCAAGAAGCTATCTGTGGGGACACTCTCCACAACTGCCTTGCCAGCAAAAAACCCATGAGCAGTAGGGGAATATGGAACTATCGCAATTCTAAGTTCCCTGATAACCAAAAAATGGTTTAGAAAAAAAATATGATGAAAGGAAATATCAAAACAAATTGGAAGTGTAACTGAAAACAGTAAATGGCTAGAAGTTTAAGATGCAAATTCCAATAAAGAAGAAATCAATATAAAAAAATAAAATAAATTATTATAGGAAATTGAAGATCAAACAGACAGTAGGGTGTCTTCTCCTCCTGATAAACATATTTTTGTGAATAAAAAATGGCAACCCAGTACATGAGGCTAAAGCGCGGTCTTAGGAGGGCAAGATGTCCACAGCCGTACCCCTACTTCTAGAGAGATGGTTTCCGTAACTCGAACTTGGGCCGCCAAGAGCGCTAACGGAAAGCCTTACTCTTAAGTAAAGCCGCCCTTTCAAACATCTTTTTGTGGATGAATTTTTTATTTTAACAAAGAGCAACATTTGAACAGGAGCCTCCAAATTTTTGAATAAAATGTAAGTAAACTCAAGATGAAGATTCTTGGCCTTTCTTATTGATGTACTCTTGATGAACCTCTTTTGTACTTGAGAAAAAAAAAAAAAACCTCAAGATGAAGATTCTTGCAGAATTTTGGAAGCAATATGAAGCACCTGCAAAGCGGGATTATTTCTTCCTCAATGTCTCAAGTCCAAAGGGAATACTCCATTTGTAGAGCAGTGATAGGATGAACAGCATGTGCCCTCCTTATTGTGTTTGGGCTTGCTTCTGATAAACCAATGTATTTTATTTTACCCTCTTCCACCAATTTCTTAAGTTCTCCTATCTGCTATTCAAAAAGAAAATTCAGCACCAATCAATAAATATTTCCGATGTCACTTAGATTAAGGAAAAGATTCCAACTAATTAGAAATGAGTGGCAACTAATACGGCACTGAAGTAACCCATGCCATACTGGAGGATTCATTTAAATAGCTAAAAAATAAGTTTTCTCTTTTCTTTTACTGGAGGAAATTTGATAGACACAGCTCGATAAAAACACCGAAATCATAACAAACAAATGTGTTGTGTAAGAATTCATAGTTTCTTTTTTTTATTCCAGTATAGTAGTTAAAAAAAAGCAAATAAAAAAGGTAGAAAGGAATGATAAGAAAAGACACTTTCTTGTTGCTTTAATAGCAAGTATTTTTTTTTCAATAAGATACTATCATTCGTTGGAACAAAAAAAGGCCCGGCTAGATACTGACCTAGCACGGCCATGGGATAAAAAAAAAGGCCTTTTCGAACAAAATCAAAGAAAAGAAGTCTTCTTTATTTTGATTTTTCTTTATATTTATATTGGATCTTTCTAGCCCTTCTTTTATCTAAATGGATTTGCTGATAAAAAATTGTACCATACCTATATAATAAAGATAAATAGAGAGAAAGGACTTTTTTTAATCCTTACTTTATGTGTAATGTAACATAGTAATTATCTTTTTTTTTTATTGGGAGAGGTGGCCGTGTGGACTAAAGCGACGAATTGCTAATCCATTGTATGAGTTATTTGTATCAAGGGTTCGAATCCCTCTCTTTCCATTTCCCTTGATGACTTGATATTTGATTTATATTTCAAAGCACCAGGGCTGTCTTGAATTATATTCTCTACCACCTTTCCCACGAGCCTAAGTCACCCTTACTGTCATTCTACAGAACTGTACATGAGATTTTCACCTCATACGGCTCCTTGTTCAATTCTTTTTAAGTCATTGGATCCTTTTCCTCGTTCAAGAATCTCCTCCTTTCTTCCACTCCGTCCCGATAGGACCCATTTAGTCACGTTTTCATGTTCCAATGGAACACTTTCCATTTTTATTTTTGATTCTTCTCAAAGGTTAGCTCCCTATTCTTTCATTCTTTCAACAATAGAAGACTTAAACCTGTTGCCTCTTTCCTCTGAGCTCATTACCTTGTAGTTTTCATTCCTCTCCTAGCTACGAGTAGGAAGCTATCGGAGTAGCGTCCCATTTTTTGACCTAGATTCTTTTTATTTATTTTTGAAAGAGAAAGGGTCTGCTATCCTATCTCTTATCTAATATAGGCAATTAGTGGTGGCATCTCCTGCTTATGCCTACCCTTTTCCTCTTCCTTTGCTTCGCATCTGCCTATCTATTATGAAGTAGGGAAATCAAAACCTGGGTACCCCCGATTGTAGCGAATTAGTTATGGGAAAATGATGGGAACCGAACCCGCGCATGGTGGATTCACAATCCATTGCAGGTGATTCGGTAGAAGCAGTCGATTTAGCAGTTTATTCAGTAGTTCCAATCGATGTTGATTTAGCAATTCATAACTTGTTGATAACAGCGT